AAAAGGGAAAGAAGTTTACTTCTTCCTCTGTTTGCTGCTATCTCCTTGAGCTTGCCTACCTCCCTCTGTCTCCACAGCATTGTACACAGAAGAAATGGAAACTGCTCATAGCAGTGCATCATTGGAACCAATCAAGGGCTGAAATACAAGGGAAAAGCAGAATCTGCTCCCTACACATTATCTGTCTGCATCCTAAATTGCCTTTTGCAAGCTTGCTAGTAATAGCAGATGCACCTCATCCTTCCTTGCCTTAATCCCATACCAACAAGATATTTTCCTTACACTTTTTCTTGGTAGTGCTCCTCTTCTGTTCCTCGAGAGCCTCACTTACTAAAAGAGAAATGGTCAATCTACCCCACAACATAAAACTTCCTTCCCAGACCAAGCTCCTTCAAATTGGGAAGCCCCAGTAAAAATTTCAGGTAGTGAAAAAGACAACACCGCAATACAATGTCAATGAAAAAAGGGTCCCCATCTATTTTTTGAGTAACCTAAGAAGTCACCTTATTAATTTATGTGGTAGAGGTGACAGCTACTAAAAAAGTATGGGTTAATCCAATTCCCAATCAGTTATTTGTGTTCAGCCTCCTTAAAGCACTCATCCTTCAATGCAAAATACCAGAACACAGACAGATAAAGAAGCAAATAAATAAAAAACCTGAGTACTGAAACTCTCAGGATTGAAATAACTTACAAACAAAGGATAAGGTCAGAAAAATCCCAGCCTAATAGTAAGGCTTACTAGTCCATCATGGCTATGATAAAAATACAGAACAGACCTTCAGAGTAGGTTTCATTCATTCTCCTCTCCATCAGTCCACAAATCCCTTTTTTCCCCCTCAGTGAACTCTCTGGATCATCCTGGCCTCTAGTTGGGTGAGGAAGTTTCACCCTCTTTAGTACTGGAGGACAGAGAGGGCTGAGTATTCAGAGATCACTGGTAGAAGACATACAGATGTAGGAAAGAAATAATTTATTTCCACAAATTCCTCTAACACTTAATCCCTCATAAATTTTCCCACATCTTTTTTCCTTAACTCTACCCAGCTGAATGCTGACACTGAAAAGAGCAGAAACCTGGGGAGAGTAGTAAATAATTTTCAGTCTGACTGAAGAATGGAAAAATAATCTTTTCTCAGATGGCACCAACAGAAGTTTTAAAATGGATGCCAGGTCATTTCTCTTCCGCAGTTGACAGCTTCCCGTAAAAATGCTGCCTCAGGAATCAGTCTCTAAGACCTCTACCTCATCCTTTTTACAGCTTTCAAAATTCCATAGCTCTCCATTGTTGGATTGAGTGGTAAATTATGTGTCTAGGTCTGAGCTCATCACCCTACGATCTCTCTATAAGCAATGGAGAGAAACAGGTGCTTCAAAAGTCTCATGCACCTTATTCTAAAGCACTTGTCTGGATCCTGAAAGATGGGGCTCAACAAATCACAAGGCTAGGGTTGTTAACCTGAATTAGTTAAACTTGGGTGAAAGTCCCTCTGCTCTTTTTGCAGGGACTTTATGCTTCATTATATTCATCACTCATACTGCTAGAGCAGAAATTTTATGTGCCATTTTGCAGTCAACAATTTGAAAAGTAGTAATGATCCACCTTCCCAGTATTGGCAGAGATGGCCAATAACTGCTCTGGGGGACACAGAACACCTGAGGATTAAAGCCTTTGCCTTTTTCTGTTTCAGCTAATCCTAAAGTGGGTGAGCCATTGGAGAATTCTAAGCAGAACAGCCCACTGTATCTCAAAAACGTCTGACAGAATGCAGAATGTCATCTCCTGCCTGAAAAAATCCATTGCAGAGCCTGTCTTTACTGATACAGATTTATCAAGCAAGCTTTCCGTAACACACTGATCTACCACTCACAAGACAGAAAACGCAAATACAAATTTTCCACATACCTAGGTAAGCCTTCACCATCTCTGTGTAACAATTTGGATTTCATTTGACCACCAGAGCCTTGAGGACCACAGAACTCCATCATCCAAATCAAATGTATTTAAAATACATGTAGTAACATCACTAATGTAATTATTTTATAGTTACAGCTAAGCAAAGCTATTCCTCTAATCAAATACATTTAAAGTTTCTCTTTCTAGTCTTCAGCTCTTTTTTGATGACGTGTTCCTCTATAGACAGTTTTCATTTGTATGAAGAGGAGAGAACTGTTACTTGATCTTTATGGCCCTAACAAAAAGATCAGGAAACAAGAATGATAATATCAAATTCTGGCCCATTTTAGGCTCTAAACTAATGTGAAGATTCCATCCTGAAATCAATCTCTTAATGAAAAATGCTTTACTTCACAGTTCATCGTGAACTTCTTGACTCTTAGTTCAGTCATATTTTTAATTTTGACTGCAATTTGATTTTGAGCTGGTAATGACTTGGTGAGTCCGGACAAAGAACAGAAGGTACCAAGGAAAGCACACTGAATGCCACAGGGGCCAGCCAACTTCTGCATGAAGCCTGCTTCTATGACAAGAAAGCACTCACGTTCTGCATTAACCAACTTTTGGTTTTTTTCCATTTCTAGAGCTTTGCACCACATTCACTTCTTATTTCAAGTTAAAGTCTTTGAGAAGAAAGCAAAACAAAAACAACGAAAAAACAAAGCAATATCCTGTTTTAATATAATTAAAGTACTATCTTTCTTAAGCACTATTTTTTCTCCCTTGTCTATCATATCTACCTGGGACAAAAAATTATTACAAAGAAAAAAAAAAAAAAAAAATAACAAAAACACACAATGGAATTCTTCTTTTTTCCTTACATTTGGAACACAGGACAATTATTTTACAATACAAGAATAACTGCTACCTTTTTCCTTCAGTAGTTCATCTCAATTTTAAGGAATATTGTGAGGGATAGAATTTTAGGGGAAAATTTTAAAGAATATAGGTTTTTTCCATAAATATGACACTACCTATACACTCCTTTATTATTATATAGAAGATAATAAATTTGTTTTTGCCTAATGTACACTTAAAAAAAGGATGTTTAATATTAAGGGAAGTGTGGCTAGAAGAATTTGTCTTGATGCAATAATTACTGGCATATTAAATTAACCTCCATATTAAACAAAAGTACAGATATTTATATGTTAGAGGAAGTTCAGTCCTTTTATAAAGAAGTGTAATAATCTGCTTCTGGAATGGAAACAATATTGAAAAACTACACAGTATACTACAAGCCATCTCTCATATTTTTAAAATAATAATGCCCATTGCCTCCTGAGACATTCCAGGCATTACGCTGATTTCAGTAAGATCATTTACAGACATGGTATTGCCTTACTTAATAAATTTGTTTTAGATTACATTTGATGCATTTAGTTTTTTCTAACTAGACTAGCATAGTACTAATGTAACTGTGTAGTTAGTTTGCTACCTTTTGTTTGCTCTCAAATGATTTTATCAAGGTTATGGAAGAGTATTATTAGTAAATTATATCTAGAGAGAGAAATTTCGTAACTGCTGATTTATTATCAAAAGCTAAAATTCCAAGAGAATCGAATGCATAGAACATGAATGTAACATTTTAAAGTAGGTACTTTAAAAATCTCCATAGAAATACACCAGAATACATATGATATTTCAGTTTAATCTTCTAAGAGGCTTTGGTAACTTTGGAAAAACAGCCTCTTACAACACTGTAAAGGGAACTCCACTTTGGGTAGGTATTGCAGAACATTTTGATAAAATTCTTACTTCATTGTGGATGTCCTCACTGGTTTCCTTTTCCACAATGTTCAGAGGCTTGGATATAAAAACATCACTTAGGAGGTTGTTTTGCATTGTTTTTTTGTTTGTTTGTAAAATGCACTTTGAAGCCCCAAGGCCTTCCTAAAATAGCAGTGACCTCCTGTGTAATCACCTCAGAGAGAACACTCGTGCCCCTGGCATGGTGTGTGGAAATCCACTGGGGCTGAGGACTGAAACAGCTCCCTGGGAAGGCAACTCAGCCTGTGACAATTGCTGGAGTGTAATGAGCAGAGCAGCCAGTTCCACAGGTGATGTGGAACCAGGGGGACAGTAAGGGAAGGTGCTTACTTCTGTGCTTGCTCCCCGAGGTCTGATACTTGCAGAAATTTTCTAGATTTCAACATGGAAGTTTTTAGGGAAGGTTTGCAGGCACATTGTTAGGCTAGGAAGGAGAAAAAAAGCATATTTTGCAAGAAACTAGCTGGTGGAATTCCTGTCTGACTGATAGAATGTTTTTACGCTGCAAGGGTGATCTTGCAATATTCATCATTAAGGTGCCTAGAGCCCTTGTATATGCATCCTTTTATTATTTAAATATTGAAATAAATAAATCAGCTCACTTAAGCAACCAGCAATCCAGTTTGTTAGAATTCTTTCATTAATTTTGATGGTGCTGAACCCCAGATCTGTTAAAAGACTCCGGAAGAATAAGTCAGTCATAATCTCTTGTAACTTCCAAATGTAAATACTTCAGCTGTAAGAAATCGAAAGTTATCTAGATTTCTTTCATTCACTGCATTTTTAAATAACTAATGGGGTATTAAATGCTTCACCACAGAAGTCAGCACTTGGGCTTGGCAAAATAGTAATTCAAAATTACAAGAATGTGTATGTCGGTATACTCAGCTCCTACCCCAAAGGAGATATTTTACAAAGGCTCAGAAAAAAAAAAAAAAAAAAGGAAAAAAAAAAAAAAAAAAGAGAAGGGAAAAGAAAAAAAAAAAAAGGCAGCACAATATGATTACTAACACAATCTTAACAATAATGTCACAAATCGGATCTAATTGGTAAATATACAAATTAGTAAAACCAAGGAGATAAATGCTTTGATATATTTAACATCAAGAGAAATGAAACATCATTATTTAATATCAAATTCAATTTTTAAATGCCAAGTTCCACTAGAAAGGGTAGGGCCTAGGGAACTTTAAATTTAAATTACTATGATGACTAGAAACAAAGGAAACAATAAACTTATGGATGTTAAAATGCCTCAAAAAAGCCAACTTACGCAGCAGCTTCTTGTGTTGACACTCCTTTGATATTCTTCGCCAAATAATCATCTATGGCATCTTTGTCTTTGATCAAATGAATCCTAAATTTAAATGAAAAAAAAAATTAAAAGAAACAGTGTAAGGTGCAACATAGACTTCTGCAGCATGTATAATATACTATCATCACAAAGTACAGCTAAACACTGAAATATTGACAAAGTAATATATCAGATATTCTATAAGCACATACAAATATCTTTTTAATTTTTTGGTCTGTACCTAGTTCAAATCTTCATTTCTGAAAGAAAACAGGGGTGATATAAGCTTTCAGGGGATCTGGTTATCTGATATTTCTGTCTAAACTAGAAGAAATTGTGTATTAGCTAAATCAGTAATAATTGATTAAGCTATCCATATTTAAACTTTTTCCTAAATCAGAACTGTTATATTTTTGTATTATCAGTATGGGCTAGGATGGTACAATCTATTTCATATTTAGCTTCTTCAAAATTAAAACCAAAAGCAAATCAAGAGAACAATTCCCAAATCCAACTCAAAATGTTTTCCTTGGTGCAATGCAATCTTTTAATACTGCTCCTGGCTTTCCACAGTTTGAGTGGCATAATGCAAAAGGTGCTCCACTGAGGGGATAATCCAAAGACCATCAAAATAAAGAGCAAATTTCAGGATGTGTGGATCTAGGTTTAAAATTTGAACTGTGCACCATTTCACCTATCACTTCAGCCACCATATCTTTGCATCTCCACTCTGATGCCTGGAAAGGCTAATATGCACTTACTGACCATGGGGTGTATATAAATAGAATCTGATATCCCAACTATAGAGGATGTTATCTTTTAAAAGTAATGTGAATTTATTTTTATTCTGCTGAGAAAGAGCACAAAGATTGTCTTGTTAATCACTCAAAGATAAAAGAAATTCAGCATTAGTGTTCCACATAAATCCATTCTTTCTCTGTCTGTATTACACTGCTGTCTTTCATTACAGTGATGAGAGTAAACTCTTTTCATAATGTTAGCTATTATAAGCATCATACTCCTTATTGCTCTGAGAACTCTGGAGACATTTCACAAAGTTCATTTAAATGAAAACAAAATAGATAAGCAAAGCAGAGATATTTTGACATATCTGTATTTAAAACAATGTAACAGTGAAAACATTCCTCACAACTAGTGCCTTTAAATTTGTTCCAGAATTTGCTGCTGCTGAGTGGCACCAGCAGAGGCTTGTGCTTCGAGGCTGCACTTAACACAATCCAGAGGACTTGCTGCTGATGTACACCTTATGGATATTGACATGAAAATTCACTTATAATCAACACCAAAATGTATTAAATATCAGAATTTTCACACCAGAACAATCAACATTCAGGAAGATCTTTGGAAGAAGAGAGAGAAAGTCAAAACCCCAAACTGAAATAGTGAACTACAACAGGCAAATTCCTATCAGCTTGCTGCAATTCAATCTACACTGCAGTTAAAAAGCATCTTAAAATGAAATAAAGGAAAGCTTAATGCCATTCCATTGTCTTTACAAGGATATCTTAATAAATAATTTTTTAAAAAATCAGGGGGAAGCCCCTTAGGATCATATACAATTTAAAATACCACCTGCCTTATAGCCGAACTATGCATTTCTGACTTCTGATTGGTAAAACTTAAAGAAAACTACAGCCAAGGGAAAAAAAAAAAAACAACATAAGCAAAATCTTGCAAACTAATAACCTGTATCGGACTGATGCAACTACAAGCATGGTCATCCATCATAAAGAGTTGAGCTTACTAAAAATAACAAACAAACAAACAAACAAACAAACAAAAACTCCAACCAACAAGAAAAAAAAGTACTCATCTCACCCTGGCTGTTATTATTGATGATGCTAGCATAGCAATAAAACAGAAAATATGGGCAGGTAATACTTAGGAAAAAATACACTAGGAAATTACATAAACTCAGGAAAATCATTCTGGCTTCCTATATGCAATGAGAATTAAAAACATTAAAATTAATAAATTCATTAATCAATGTGAAGAAAAGAAACTGTGACTTGGAATGGACACTGTTTCTTTTTACAGAATTGAGATGAGGATGGCATTTGCTAAAAGGCACCATTTCTTTTCTTCCAGAGGTTGTCACTTTTCCAAGCTACTATATCCTTTTTCTCTGGTGCTTCCATAATGACTCACAGTACTTCATAAAGTGTACAAAAAGAGTCTACTTCATCTTTAAGTTGCCTCCTATTTAATTTTAAATCACTCAGTTGTTAACAAGAATCCAATTTTAATCCATTCTTTTTTTTGCCTCTTTTATTGTGGAACCTTCCTAAGAGAGAATTTCCTTGCCTATGATTTTTGTAGTTTTAAATATTGCAAAAGAGCAAACATAATTTGTCACCTTGGCACAGCCGATTGAAGCTGTTCACAGCAAAAATGATGCTTTGAAAGAGAAGAAGTACCTACCTTGCAAAGTCTAATGGGGGGCAAAGATGCTGCTCTATGAACTTGGGATGTTCCCCTGGGCTTTGGAGGACCGCTTGAGGCAACACGCTCATTTTAACTAAAACAAACAAACAAAACCAACATTATTTGAAACAACCTCCTCACAGCAATGTGGTTTCTTTTCCTTCTCGTGCTGCTTCCCAGGCCACTCTCTGTTATTTCAGTGCATTAAAATCCAACTCCAGCTCCACACAAATCTCAGCATTACTTCAGTAATTCAGAAAGGAATGGTCATTATTTAACTTTACATGGTTTTTTCTCTTTCATTGAGGTGCTTTTGCTTTCCATAGGGACAGCTGATTCAGGTACAAATACCTGCACAGGATTCCCCTGAGCTATCTCATTTACTTCCTCAAGCTATCTAGGTACAAGTACTGATAATATTTTAAATTAATATACAACAATGGAATATACAGGGTGGAAAGCAACGACAGGCACTGTGTTAATGTTCAAAATCCTACATAATCATACTAGAAACAAGCTTTTGAAGGAAAATATTGCAAGTAATGCTATACTTACAACACAGGGTTTTACTTAAAACAAAAGCCAAAAGCCTCACAGAATCGTCTAGCTTGTCATCTTGAAGTACATAAATGCTAATAGGACTTTTTTGTCATATAGAGCTACTGTGTTTTTTCCCCAAGTATTCAGTCTACTCTTCCTACCATTAAAGTTTCAGCTGCCAGTTCCTTCATTTTGCATGTCTGTGATCTGAAGACGTTAGCAGCAGGAGCACCCTTACTTTTAAATTTGGTTTAATGTAGGTATTGCATGCCCTGCTGGTAGGCCTGAAGGCATAAACTTTTAATAGGGATGGAAAAACAGAATATAATAAGAGTGGAGGAAAGAATTTAACTATTTGCTACATTTAGTAAAAGGAAATTTATTTTTTGGGAAATAGGTATTATATATGAATCAATTTGCTACTGAATGATCAGTAACAAATGACTAGCAGATATTTTATAAGCCTTTCTGGGATCAAAAGCCATTTCATTGATGCAGTATTTTGCTGTGGTTATACTGAAGTAAATTTTAAAATTGTGTTACTTAGAATTGAATAATAAGGAGAATTATAATTTGGAAGGATGACAGGATAGGATGTTTCTCCTAAGTCATTCTTTTGGGCCTCATACTAATGATAACATTTTTTACAGAAAGAAAATAGATATTATTTATTGATAAACTGGTTTGCAATTAGAGGCAGCAAAACTTAACAGAAGTGTGTCCTAGAAAACAAAAAAAAGAATAAATAGAACAAAAAACATATGGGTAATTCATCACTATTAAAGATTACACTTCTCACAGAGAATGACAGGTTTGTATACAAAAACTACATAGAAAGGAAAAACTCTTTTTAGGAAGATGTTATTCAGTGAGAAATAGTAATTTACTTGGGAACAACAATATTGAAGTCCAGAGAAGATGCAAAGCTTTCTAAAAGCTTCTTTGTTGTGAGGCATTAAGTGAGAAAATGAACACAGTCATGCCTTAGTGGAGGCTGAGGAATCTGGCAAGGCAGGGGGCCTGACTACAGCTATGGGGCAGAAAAGGTGTGGAAGCAGCTGAAAGAAGACCCCCACAGAGCCACTGCAGCCATGGAAAGTTATTGATAAGGAGTTGTAATTTCGGGACTACCACAAAGCACCTGGCTGGAGTACACGGCAAGTTCTTGGCTCACACGCTCCATGTTCTCAACACACAGAAATCAAATCTATGGGAAAAGAGGCTATCAGACATACAGGTCTCACATCAGGCACATATGCAGACATTTTTTCTTAGCACATTTCTGCCTCACAAAGACTAAAATACTGCCCTGGCTCCTATTTCAAACTCAAAGCTTGGGAGAGGAAAATAAAGGTGCTTCATAATAATGCAAACTGAACTTTTACTTTAGATGTGGGAGATTGCTTTCAGAATGAAATTGAGGGTGTATTTCCCTCATTTACAAGGTAACTAATTCTTACAGGTAAATCACAACCACAGGCACATGACAGAAGGCAACAGCAACACATCCTTCTGAAACCCATGCTATTTCAGTCGTGTAAATTTCATTACTAGTCATTTAAAGTCCACTTTACATCTTGCTCCTTTATTATAAAATCTAAGCCACTTATTTAATCAAACAGAATTCAGCAAAATATGAGGTGGTGCAGTTTGTTTCTAAAGAAGTGCTTCACTTAATCCGACAGTGGAGGGAATCTCCCCAGGGACTGTAATTGCTCCAAGGTGCACTGAAGCTGAAGGTAAAACACCAGCTGATAGCCGAGAGCAATGGTGCCTTTCCCTGCACCTTTTCGGAAACCTGCTGCTGCCCCTTTGCTCTTCCTACACATTTTCTGAGGTATTAACTGGAGGCTGAGGATTCCCCTCCCGGGGAAGGAGGTGAGGAAGTAGGGATGGATACACCACACGGCTGTCTTTGTGGCAGGACGGACTTACTGGCACGCTGCTTCGTTACACTGAAAGTCACAGTGCAAATTAATTAAAAAAACAAAAACGAACAATACATTTTTGAAACCCACAGCCAGCGTGATAGATGCTATTTGTTCCAAGTGACCTGGACAAGGTCACGGCCTCAGCCGGGCCCGTTTCTCAATGCCCTCCGTCCCCGCGGCTCTGGGAATTCAGCCGCCATCCGCTGCTGCCCGGCTGCCACCAAGCACCGCCCCGGGACACCTCAGCGTGTGCCTCCAGCTGTCCCGCTAGCACCCCGCCCTTGGCTCCGGTACCGATGAACTGCACCCATCAGCCGGAGCTCGCCGGGCACGCACCTGGGCTCATGGCGCGGCCGCAGGACGAGCTCTCCGCCGGCCCGGCCCGACGCCGCGGCCTCGCCATGGCGACGGCGCCGGGCGGCGCCGCGGGCCGGGCGTGCTCCCGGAGCCCTCAGCGACCGTCCCACCCCTTCCCGGCGGCTCGGGGGCGATGGAGCCGGGATGAGCAGTGGGAAGCGCTGGGGCTGTGAGAAATCGGCACGGGCAGAGGTGTTGGGGTGCGTTCCTGAGCTCAGGTGAGCTCCGAACGAGCTGGCTCAAACGGGAGCATCCCGCAAAGCTGAGCGAGTTTCTGAAGCTGGCGGGCACTAAGGAAGTGTGGGCAATCTCTCAGATGCCAAAGGGTCACCTGCAGTGAGCAGGTTCTTTCACGGCATCACAGAATGGCTAGGTTGGAAAGGACCGCAGTGGTGCATCTGGTCCGACCTCCCTACTTAAGCCGTGTTGTCCCAGAGCACATGGCCCTGGACTGTGCCCAGATGGTCCATGAATATCTCAGTGAGGGAGGCCACAATCTCTTTGGACTATCAGTTTCAGTGTGTGGTCACTACACAGAAAGAAGTTCTTCCTCATATTCAGGTGGAACTTCTGTGCATCAGTTTCTTCTGTTGCCTCTTGTCCTATTGCTCAGCAGAGCACAAAGCAGAGCCTGGTCCATCCTCTTGGCATCCCTCCTGCAGATGCTGACAGACCTTCATGAGGTCCCCTCCCAGTCGTCTCCCAGCCTGAACAGGCTCAGCTCCCTCAGCCTTTACTTGTAAGACCCAGTCCCTGAATCATCTTTGTTGCCCTCCATCCTTTCAGGACCTCTGAGCCTTCCTGAAGTTCTTCAGGACTTCTGAGTAAGGGAAAAAGCAAGTAGAAGAACACATTAGACTGGATCTCTGAGTAAGTGACAACATGAAGGCATTTTGTTTGTGGAAAATGTCCTCACTTTCTGTTGGTGAGGGTTTGCTGCATAATGTACTGTCACAATGGAGCTGTTCTAAGGGGCTGGCCTACTTGGGTGTCTGGGGACTGGTCAGAAATGGAAATATTGGGAAGGAATCAATGAACTTTTGCTAAGTGCAAATGAAAACTGTAAGAAAAACTTAATTGGGATGTTACAGAATATAAATAGCAGAGATTTTTCAGTGACTTCTCTTTTTGTGTTGGAAACTTGACACTGGCAAAAGATCATTTTTTTAGTACAGTTTTGACCTAGTTTTTTATTGCTACAACTGTTCGGAAAACAGGAATGTCAGAATCAATTGCTATAATCTATTTTGGAAGTATCAAGTGGACAGAAAGCACTTAAAAAATGACATTACCCGTTTCTGAGTTGATGGCAATCGGAAACAAAGGATCTTGCGTGTTTATGGGTCAATGTTCAAGTGGATAAGTCAGAAGCTGACAGGGTACTTAGCTGATATCAAATCACACTAGAGAACAGCATGACCTATGCCTTACCCACCCACAACACATAGGGAAAGCACTGCTGTACTGAGTGAATTTCAGTCTGAATGACATATGTTGAAGGTCTCATGCTGCCAGTGTTAAAATGTACTTTGAATTTCAAAATATTTAAAATGTCAATTTCCTAACTCAAAAAATGTTGCATCCAACACAGAGGAATTCTATATTAGACCTCATCCTGTCAGATGAAAAAGAATTGATCACAGAACTAAAAATTAGCCATAGCTTAGGTATAACTGGTAATGATTTGATCACATTTGATATGTGCAAACAGAATTAAGTCACAGCCAATAATACATATACTTCATCCTTTGGAAGTGCTAATTTTATAAAGGTGAATTTTATTGTAAGGTAAATGTGTCGGGAGAAGAAATTAATCTGGAGTGGGAGAATAGTGATTGGAAGTGGTTTAAGGGTGGTAGTGCAGATACCTACTCAGCCAGAATGCCACAACTAAGGAATATGCTGAAAAGCCAGGGTGGTTTACAAGGCAAACATCTGCAAAGCTGGAGAAAGAATGTGGTGTCATTCATGTACACTGAAAAAGGTAGGAATTGTAGAAAATTGCTGTGGCAAGTAAAAGGTTGTGAGGGAAATACACATATGGTCAACTGAGTTAAAATGAGGAAATTGGAGGGGTTTTGCAACTATAGAATATAGAAAATTATCTGAATAGTAGGAAGACCCTATTAAAACCCGAAGATGAGTGCTTAAACCTTAATCAGTAACAAACTTCAAATGTTAAAGATACGCATACTTGTTCTGTCACTTAGGAAGACAGCAGCTGATGTAAGTATGTTGTTAAATATGTTGAAGAGTTGTTTTCTATTCAAAGATGTGGGAGAATGGTTCAGATACTGAAAGAAAATTGCCATTAAAGCTTTTGGAATGAACATGTCTATCAATGTTCATATTCAGAAGTTCTTGAAACACTAAGACTTTTTTAAGGAAGGTGAAGCTAGTATCGTTCTAGTACCTTAAAGAATAAATGGGATAATAATAGTTTACCAGTGTGACACTGATCAGGCAAAATGTGGAATAGACAATATTGTTTACTCAGTTAACAAATAATTTCAAACAAGAAAGACATTTCCAATTACTGTGGACTCCTGCTAAAAAATCTTTATATCCTGGCAGAAAAATAGAGCCTGCAAATCAGACTTTGCTGTTTTGATGAGGCTGTAGGTTTTGCTTATTGATGTAATTTAATTTGACTTCAGTAAAGCATTTGACTTAGTATCATTTGGCATTTTGGATTAAACACTTCAATGATACAATTATTTGTATCCTGTACATAAACTTACAAAAAAACCTTGTAAAAACTGAAAAGATAAACCAGCAGATTTAAAATTACTTTTAATATTCTGGAATGATATCTGAAGTACTTCACAAGCAGACATTTACACCATAGCTACATCTCCTGTGTTAAACATATATAATTCATTTTACTTGGAAGCAAAGTAAAATTTTTTTCTATGGAGATGTGTTCAAAGGATCCTGCATGCCAAACAATATGTAAGTTAGAGAGAACACTCTTTAGCAGAGAATCAAAGGCAGTGTACATCTCTATAGTAATATAAAGAGGCAGTATCCTTTCTGTGGTTAAGGATGAAACCAGCTCCTATTACACTGCTGTGTTCTGGCACCAATTTAATTTGCCTAGAAATGTTTGGCCTGCAAGTCCTGAAGAGAAAGGATGTCAGTCCACAGAAAAAAAATTCAATTGCTAGCACTTTTTTGTTCCTATCATTAGGGTAGGTTTTCTTTCAATTCTATAAGCAATGATAATGTCCAAGGAATTACATGATTTTATAGCAGATGCTTTTTGCAAAAACTGTGAAGAATTAATTTGTTTGAAAAAAAATTGATTCCAGACATGGGCATATTCAAAAATGTAACCTAGAGAGGCAAAAAGTGCAATGTATTGACCACTATGAGTAGCTGGTACCCTTAGGAAATATGTTTGTGCACCTTTAGTGGTTACATGGAAAATGAATTGCTGTGCTTAAATGTGGCAGTGCCCAAAACTTACCAGGACACATCTGGATACTCCTCAATACCTGAATACTGCTCATCAAAAAAATAAGTGTTTTGATTCCTGCCTAACTGCTCATCTTTGTTCCCTGGTAGTTCTGATTTTCCTGTTACTTATCCACCTGTCCACTACACAAAAATGACTCAAACCTGAAGTGTCTCCAGTCCTTTGCTTTAGAAAGGAGGGAAGAGGGAGAGGCTTGGTGAAAACTAAAGTATCACGGTGAAAAGTATGAAGAAAAAAAAAGGAGAAATGGCCAAACTGTTAAAAATACAAAACCAGGGAACTGGAGGAGGGCAACACTGAGTGTGCTACCAGGTAACAGTGTATATAGATTTTCTTGGCATTTCCCAGAGAGCACCTAATAAACTTAATTGTGAATGTTGGAATTGCAAATAATACAGCTTTGCAAAAGTCATGCTC